ACTTTTCCTCTGAAACATGTGCGAAATCATTTGTAAACGGTAAACTATATAGATCCATATACTTAGTAGGATGATGATTCTTATAATAGAGTTTTACATTCAAAACAAATGATTCACATGTTAGTGAATTGTCTTATCGCGACTTGTGGAGTTGAATATCTTACATTGAAATGATAACCAATTAAATAAATATTATTCCCATTGACAAGTTGAGTGCATATTTTGACAACTTTTGAACCTGTCATTATTTCATTATTATTTATGGTAACATACTCAAAATTTACTCTCATGGGTATTGTTTCATATCAGCCGGACATGTAATGAAACGATGTCGAGTCATTATGTTTCGTGATAAGCATCTGAATTGTTTTCTGACTTGAGTTAGATATAAAGAAGTACAACTCACTTCATCTAAGTGTTTGATCACTGCAACAATACGAATCTCTATCGTTATGTTTCCTCCCGTTTGAAATAGAAACTTATTGATTTCCATGTACCATAAAATTGAATTCACTTGAAAATCAAATCAGAGTGAGTATTTAATCAAAGCATTCTGTTATGGCATTACCATATAGCTGCACTCATAAATGACAGTCTTACCATTCAAACTACTAGTAGTCTACCTTCAAAATGAGTAACCCCACTAAACAAATTATTGATTATTGATCTAATACACTCTGACAAAGTATGTTTTTTTCACAGCCCTTCTTTCTTCATACAGATAGGAACAATTATGCTTAGGTAGTTTAAGTGCCAATACACTATTCACAGAACACTTCTGTCAATAATTCGAATTCATCTATTTATTCACTCTCTGAGAAATCTTTTCTCACCAATGCTTATATATATATATATATATATAACATTTTATTACTGAAATTATTAGACAATGATTAAAAATGAAAGTTTAATTCTTAGTAAAATAAATCCGTTTTATTTCCCCGATTGATAATATGCAACGTAAAAAGAAATCATAATTTATCATGAAATTCAACTGATCACATGAATGAAATGAATATTTTTCAACTGATATTGTTTTGATTGTTAGTTTCGGTCAGTTTGTGATATCCAGAGAGAGCACATTGGAAAGTTTAATCATTTAGTAAATTTTTTTTTATAAATTAATTTGTTTATTATTTTGATTCCTTGTTCCATGAATAAAATATGAAATATTTACATCACGATGACAAATGGACAATGGGAAAGCACAGTTATAGACGATATTCATGATATAATAATTATTTTTGTTTTTCTTTTTAGTGAAATACATTCAAGTTTCATTATATGAAGAATGATTCATTTCTGTATTGATATGATACATTGTTCCGTGTATCAGTGTGTATTTTACATTCTATTTACGAGTGTTAACGAAGATTTATAACTTTATATGCCTAATTTGTGTTTTTAAAGTGAATACATTTTTTCTTCAGACCAATCGTTAAATTGATAAAATGATATGATAATTGAAAAATGAAAAGTACTAATATTCAATGGTGAATAATACAACTACAAAATAATAATAATAATAATAATAATAATAGAATGTAAGTTTATGTTAGATTGATACTAGTTAGTCAACGTCACTTTCAAGTTGTTCACGGTACAAAATCTGATCATTGTAAAGTTTATGTGCCATTTTCACAATTGAACTTCGAACATATTTGAGTTTTCATATTGGTTCACTTGAAGTGAGTTATGTAAAATGACCGAAGTAATGTTGTTGTATATGGTGGTCATTAACTGATCACGTGGATTCAATTGATCCATAAATGAAAGTTGTTCCTGGTACTCAACAAAACCAGTTGAAGAATATGTCCACTCTTTCATTGGATTACTCAGGAACTAGAGAATTTTCAGTGCCTTGGTCCTCAAGTCAATCAGCAATCAACAAACACATAGACATTGATCCAATTTATTGACCAATCAGAAAAATCATAGGCGACATAGGATCAAGAAACAGCTCAAATGGGGTACACAATCGAAACAAAGATGCAAACGACGACAGATTTTAGGTCAACAGCAACCAATCAAGATCGAGGTTAGCAGAACAAGCTGCAGGTCAGACGTGAAGAAATTCGAATACTTCACTTACATCTGAAGTTTGTGCTGATGATGTTGTTGCGAAAAATTATGAAAGCTCCACAACCAAACCATCCAGCTCAGAGAACGGAACACTACTACAGTCATCCATCTGAGCTACAGGTTTTCTCCACCATCTCAGAAGTTGTTATCTACGTAGATAAACCCATATTGAGCAACTACTTCTTAGTCTCAATCTTATAATCAGTATACTTCCCTTCTGCTACCGAAATCCTATTTCAAATCAATCTAGTATTGTTTTTATATTCATTCTAATTACTTTGTATTATCAGACTAAATATTTTTAACTTATTAACTTACTTTCTACGCTATGTCAAGACTTCTCGTTAGTTCCTTTGTGTCAACGGATCAGAGTAGCCTGCCCGGACACTGGTTCATTGTCTCGTTCTCGTCTATCGACTAAGGTAAACTAATGATAGTTTCAAGCATACCTAGTGACGAGCATAACATAGTCATCCGTATTTTTAAAATTACAAATTATGTTAGTAATTTCAAGCGACAAGCTTGTGAAACAAAGCAAATTCATCGTGTTCTGTAAGTAATGCCCTTATTGCTTTATATAAGACCTAATTATTTCAGCACAGTGATACAACTGAGATACAATCAGTTACGAATCATAATTAATTTACTAGAAATTGTTCTTCAATTAGAGTTATAGAGATCAGTGTTCGTACACGTAGAAATGATCAATCAATCATTGGTAGACCACCCTTAGAAACCTGAAAGCACTGGACGACCTTTTTGTCCTGGCATGGTTAGGCGTTCGCCCGCGAAATCGAAGGTCCTGTGTCCGGATCCTTCGACGTTCAGGAGTCGTCAATGTACACTGCTGATGAGTCTCATACGGGAAGGAAACGGCCGTCCTGTGCCTCTAGGTTTCTAATGCTGGTCTAACAATGATTGATTGATGATTTCAACGTGTGATTTACTATATTATAAAAGAACAGGGAAATTGCAATCTCTCACATATATTTCGAATTCTCGGGAAAGGGACTCATTAGACTTTACAAACATTATTTCATGTTATATACAAGACTAGATATTTATAGTATTGTCATTTCATTGTTTCAAAGCACGGACTATTTGATCAGTAGGTAATCAGTCGATGGAATATTGTCACTTCGATTTGTTTATAATACTCATAATGTTAAGATCTTTAAATTTGGTTTTGTTTACTTTTGTACTAATAAGTACTTTTGTACTGATAAGTTCAAAGGTGTCAAATCGGGAAAAATCAAAATCAAAATGGTTATCATCCATCAGAGTTGTATTCGTTCATTTGGATTGTTTAGTCATTTAGGCACAAAACTGAATAAAACACTTTCAAAATCCTCTTTCTGAATTCGAAACACTTTGAACCGTTTCAAAAACGCTACTCTTGATAAAAATTTTTTCTATTTCTACTTATTTAGTAATACAGTAAAAACTAAAGACATTCTAATAAAGGCATATATTTTTAACATGCTAATCCATTAAATAGTGTATTGAACTATTATTTTAAAGTTTAAAGGAATTAAATCTTTATTGTTTATCCCATATAACATGTACTCATTTCAGAAGTAGGTAATGCATGACAACTTATACGTACTTGGCAACCAGAGATGTCTACGTCAAACACAGAGGTACGATGTAGTACAAAAGCAACTGTATAAACAGCAATATCAAATTCTGGAGATGATCCGACATAAAAACCTCCCAATGACTTTTTGTATCTGTTTTCGTTCACGAACGATAGAAGAATAAGTTGATCTTGACAAGACTGTAATGCGAATTTAATGCAAAGATTAGTTATACACATTTGAAAATTACACTGTAAGAAAAATGTCTAAATTACGTGAACGTTTTACATTTAGAGCAATATTTATTCCAAACGTTACTTCAATATTTAATTGTAACAATTCAGGCTGCAAATTGTAGTAGGTTACTATATAAACATATACATATTTTCTTTTTAAAAATTACCATAACTTTACATCAACTTGCCAAATAAAATCGATTTTTGCTAGTTTACGATTTGAATAACACGACAGTTAACATTCCACAATATATTATGACCTTGTTAATGATAACCTATTAAATAATTATTATTATTCTATGGTTAACTATGAATCGATAACTTTCTTCATAATAGTTCCATTCAAGAAGCATAATTTGGTTTATTGTTGGGGCCGTTAGCTACCTAGAACTCACTTGATAAAGGTCCTAATTTTGGATTTTATGTTTTAGCGCATGGACTTATCAGTTGAGCTTGAGATAACATTTTCCATCCAGAAGAACTTTGTCTAACATTTTTCAGGGGTGGACCTTCTACCAGTAGGATGTCTTATTGACCTAGAATATGCCAATGAGATAGTTCTATTTGGTGAAGACGCTGACAAAATGCAGAGTCTTCTGACTACCCTAAGCAACAATGCAAGCATGTTCGGGATGCGGTTTTCCCCCTCGAAATGCGAAATGTTTCTTCAAGATTGGGATGCATTGGCACCTGAACTAGTGATAGGGAGTGAAGTAGTCGAACGTGTAGACCGCTTCACTTATCTGAGGAGTCTCATCAGTGCTGATGGCCTGGTGACTGACGAAATCTCAGCACGGATACAGAAGGCTCGATTGGCTTTTGCCAACCTGCGTCATTTATGGCTCAGGCGAGATACTCGCTTTCTAACCTAAGGACGAGTGTACTGCGCAGCAGTTATTTCTGTCCTACTATACGGACACGAAACAAGGCCCACAAGAGTAGAATATATTCATAGGTTAACAGTAAATACTTATAGTATACTCATGTAAACACAATCATAGTCCTATTATACTTTATCATAAAATAAAAGATTTATTCCTTATTCAATAATTACAAGCACATTATAATTCCGAAATGAACTAGCCAATTATAGAAAATTCCTTACTCTTTTAGTCCATCCAAAATAGTTTAATTGATTTTCCTTTTCTTTCCTATAAAATTGAATCCAATTATGTAATCCAAGCACATTGGATTTTTCATATTCACCAACAAATACATGTTCAAATGCAGAAGAGTCTTGTCGACTTGATCCCATTTCTTTGATTGAATATCTCCGTTTGTTTTTTTTTTGTTTTCTTTTGTTGCATATTTTTTATGAAGGACATACATCATCGTTATTCAAAGTATTTTCAGGGGGAAAAAATGTAAAGGCAGTTCTAAATTATCAAAACTGATTTTTAATATCAATTTATTAAACATTAAACATTAATCAATCATTGTTAGACCACCATTAGAAACCTGGAAGCACTGAACGGTCGTTTCGTCCTGGTATGATTTCAAATGTGTAAAAACACAAATCTCCAAAACTCTAACTGAAAAGATCGTAACATGTGCTCACTAGTGACTATCTTTGTGAGGAGATTCTCGGAGTTATAGTTGAGAAGACGTGATCAATGTAGTTCAACCCTGTCGGGTGTAGGCAGTAACTACCAATGCTTATCCAATGCTTCTAGTGGTGCTTACAATGGTGGTCTAACAACATGATTTCAAGAATGTAATAGTTGATTTGTTGTATTGATATTTTTCCAATCTATCGATGATTATTATTCTACCTTAAATATTCTTGTCAAATATCATTTGGTATACTTCTCTTCAAGATCAACGATGTGAGTAATATTATGACTAAATAATTATAAGTGAAAATTAAGATGTTTGGATTATATTATTATTCCATGTTATGTATTGGCTTTAAGTGAATTAGTGTATTTCACTAGCATTTTTTCCAACAATCATTGTAAATATTCAAAACCAAATCTAGCGATTATTAATTTATTCTTGGCACCCGTCATCTTACTATCAACTTTTACCTTTACCTATTATGTATAGTTATGTAGTGTATCTGATTGTGGTCATAGACACACAAGTCACATTAATTAGCTGAATATTTTCATATGAATATTCATGTATATTAGATGAAAGCGTGATGATGATCTAATTGAAAACAATATTATTCCCATATATGTGTTGTTTTATTAATTTATCAAGAAAACAGTATAGAAATTTAGGAAGACTCATTTTTGAGATTACTTCTCACCAGTCCACACAATATCTCTTCTTCTGATCAATCTGACAATATATTTTTGATCAGCGAACATCTTAGAATCAAACTGCACTGAACCTACCTTCTACGTTGATATCGTTTGAACCACAAATCCTTCAACAATGCTCCAAACTGCTTGATATCTCCTGATATTTTTCTTTTTCCAACAAGAAAATCATAAGTCATTCTCATTATATTCGTATTCAGTAATTCTTTGATAAAATCATCTTCTTCACGCAGTTGTTGTTCTGTGACACTTTCACTGACACCAATTTTAGGAATATAGTTATCCAACAATGCAATGAACTCTGTAGTGTAAATATAGTTTTAAATTTCATTTTTGATAAACTCAATTTGTCTAAATATGTTAGTGATTGATTAAGAAACATTAAAGAATAATATAAATCTTAGGATTTAAAGATACTCCATTCTTTGACACCTTAAATTCCATCGACATAACGATCATTAGGCATATATATTTTAGCAAAGATTTATTGAATCTAAATCGTAACAAGATAAATGCTTGTTTTTTGTCTTTCTCATGTCTTTTGACTTAGGTCTGTTATTGATCGCCATGTTACATATCTATTGGAAATTAGTCATAAACAATAAGTGAATTATTTTTTCTAATGAGAACTTTCAGTGTTGTATTTTAGTCAGTAAATTTATCGGATGTCAATGCTCTTCCGGAAAATTGTGGAATAAGGCTAAGCTGATTGCATAAATCATGCAGCATAGTCAGCCAAATATTGATCATATTAACGAAAATGTAGGAAATGATCATTTGGAATTATTCAATCAGTACAATCGCTTATTCATCATGTCTCGATGTAATTCTATTAATTTCCTAAGTAAATTGATTTCTTTGAAATTGTTAAGTGAATAAACAATTTCATCCTTAGCCATCCTCAGTCAACTTTTGTAGTTAAATAACGGTAATGAATTCTACTCAAAACGAATTAGGTATACTAGTGCTCACGGAATATTTCCTCTACTTGCTAACAGAAACATTCAAGTACAAATTTCAGTCAACCTGTAAGTGAAGTTCGGAATGAATTGAGAAATTTTTGAATGCATTTTACGTGATGATCGATTTTTCTACAAATCCAAAGACAAGGAAATATGTTTCAGACAGATTTTAGCTTCTGGCTATTTGTCTAAGTTAATTAAATTGAGCAAGACAAAAACATTCACAATATGAATGTCAGTTTACAGATTTCGAATATCAGTCTTCGTAACATACTTGCAAAAGTGGGTCTCTTATTCAGTGAATCTTCATTAACGAATTCAAACAACGGTTCAGATGCTGAATCTACTAAATCCTTTCCTGTATAATGAAAAGAAAAATATTTTGAAAAAACTGAATGTTTGTTTTTAAATTTTTTTATAAATATTGGTGTGCGCACAGATATACATAACTTTTCCTCTGAAACATAAGTGAAATCATTTGTAAAAGGTAAACTATATAGATCCATATACTTAGTAGGATGATGATTCTTATAATAGAGTTTTACATTCAAAACAAATGATTCACATGTTAGTGAATTGTCTTATCGCGACTTGTGGAGTTGACATGCTAGAATAGAAAACAATTCCCATACACTATCAGTTACTTACATACTTACCTACTTACTTACTTACTTACTTACTCACTTACATATGCTAACACAATTGGAGCATAGCTCGCCGACCAACATTCTCCAACCTACTCTATCCTAGGTTAGTTCTGATCAATTGTCGTCCATTCTTCTCATGTCTGTCTCCGTTTCTCGGCGTATTGTGTTTTTTGATCCATCTCTTTTCCTTTGGCCATGAGGATTCCAAATTATAGCCTCTTCTGTACCGCAGTTGTGTGCTTTACTCATTGCGTATCCAATCGTCTTCCAGTGCTTCCTCCTAATTTCTTCCTCCACTGAAGGAATCTGTTTTGTTATCTCCCAACACTATCTAATGATTTCTAATTTTCAGTATTCGAAACGTGTTTACTTTTCAACTGGCACACTCAAAAATAAAACTCGTTCATGATTCCCTACACTCTGAACGTTTAAACGATATATATCTATCGAACATCACTTTAGAGTATATCACATTTTCTGCAATGAACATAGTGTCTGTGAAAATTCCTCCATGTATACATTTGTAATTTATCATTATTGAGTCGTTCAGTTGTACATTTTGTCAGTTTGTTCAATTCCATTTGAGATGATAATATTTCTATTTTATTAGAGTTTCTATTTCTTCTGCCTCCACTGAGTTTCCATGTTTCTTTCTGAACTGAATTGATGTTGCTTGAGCTGATATTTAGTCATGGCGACAGCCATCTTGATTCGTTCCTCTTTCGATTGTGTCGGTTGCTTGCTGTGACTGGAATTGTTCATTTTGATTGTGAATTGAAGAGCTCTTCCGAAATTGGAAACACTCAGAGTCATAAAACAGCTATATATTCTCTTTCTAACAAAGATTTATTGAATCTAAATCGTAACAAGATAAATGCTTGTTTTTTGTCTTTCTCATGTCTTTTGACTTAGGTCTGTTATTGATCGCCATGTTACATATCTATTGGAAATTAGTCATAAACAATAAGTGAATTATTTTTTCTAATGAGAACTTTCAGTGTTGTATTTTAGTTAATAAATTTATCGGATGTCAATGCTCTCCTGGAAATTTGTGGAATAAGGCTAAGCTGATTGCATAAATCATGCAGCATAGTCAGCCAAATATTGATCATATTAACGAAAATGTAGGAAATGATCATTTGGAATTATTCAATCAGTACAATCGCTTATTCATCATGTCTCGATGTCATTCTATTAATTTCCTAAGTAAATTGATTTCTTTGAAATTGTTAAGTGAATAAACAATTTCATCCTTAGCCATCCACAGTCAACTTTTGTAGTTAAATAAAGGTAATGAATTCTACTCAAAACGAATTAGGTATACTAGTGCTCACGGAATATTTCCTCTACTTGCTAACAAAAACATTCAAGTACAAATTTCAGTCAACCTCTAAGTGAAGTTCGGAATGAATTGAGAAATTTTTGAATGCATTTTACTTGATGATCGATTTTTCTACAAATTCAAAGACAAAGAAATAGGTTTCAGACATATTCTAGCTCCTGGCTATTTGTCTAATTTAAGTAAATTAAGCAAGACAAAATACATTCACAATATGAATGTCAGTTTACAGATGTCGAATATCAGTCTTCGTAACATACTTGCAAAAGTGGGTCTCTTCTTCAGTAAATCTTCATTAACGAATTCAAACAACGGTTTAGATGCTAAATCTACTAAATCCAATCCTCTAGCTAGTTTTCCTGTAAAAAGAAAAGAAAAAGATTTTGAAATAACTGAATGTTTGTTTTTAAAATTTTTTATAAATATTGGTGTGCGCACAGATATACATAACTTTTCCTCTGAAACATGTGCGAAATCGTTTGTAAAAGGTAAACTATGTAGATTCATATACTTAGTAGGATGATGATTCTTATAATAGAGTTTTACATTCAAAACAAATGATTCACATGTTAGTGAATTGTCTTATCGCGACTTGTGGAGTTGACATGCTAGAATAGAAAACAATTCCCATACACTATCAGTTACTTACATACTTACCTACTTACTTACTTACTTACTTACTTACTTACTTACTTACCTACATACTTACTTACTTACTTACTTACTTACATACTTACTTACTTACTTACTTACTTACTTACTTACTTACTTACTTACTTACTTACTTACTTACTTACTTACTTACTTACTTACTTACTTACTTACTTACTTACTTACTTACTTACTTACTTACTTACTTACTTACTTACTTACTTACTTACTTACTTACTTACTTACTTACTTACTTACTTACTTAATAAAATGAAATATAATCAACATTAAAAAACGATTCACCTTGCAAATTTAATTTGAAATCTTTGCCACTTTTAGCTGCATTTTCATCTGCATTGTACAGACTAGTGAAAAATG